AATTCTACTTCACGTTGTAGTTGTACAGAACCTTTATTTAACTTAGCAGTAGTAGGCATATCCCTCATCTCATAATGATCAACCAAAGACAACTGTGAAGTATCATGATCATTATCACGAATATTCACTTTACCGTCAACTTCATCATTTTCAAACTCTTTAATAACAGAAGTAGACAATTTTGGTTCCTCCTCACAAATCATTAAAGGTTTTATAACTTCACTCTGACTAGTAATACCTTGTAAACTTGTGGAGTCAGAACTGCACTCTGAAGCAGTAACTCTATTCTGTGACACTCTATTCAACAACGGCTTACCAGTTGCAACTACAGACTTCTTCACAACACCGTTATCGTCACACAATTCGGAGTCAGACCTGGAGTTTACATTTAGCTTATCACTGAACTTGCTCACTGGTTCACAGTTCACTTCTGTATGCACCTCTTGCACACGTGTAAAACACAACCGTGTTTGTCTTGCATCTTGTAACTTATCTGTTGAGGATGTACTACGAAACCTGTTACACTCACTAGGTCTATATGCATTACTAGACATCATGGAGTCTTCTCGATATCCACCTCTCTGAGGCTTATTCGTCATCAATGAGTGCGTTTTACCCTCAGACTGCTCTATTCTAGGGGTGAGATCTAACAGACTGGCGAACTTGCTCATAGATTGATTGACACTAGTATTTACCAGTTTCAGGATATCATCAAACTTTGGCTCGATACCCTCATCCTCCATACGGGAGCTTATCTTCACCCACTTCCTTTGCAGTCGAGTAGGTAGACGTCTTGCTATTACTTCTAGTATAAAACTCGAGTTGAGGTCACTCATTCGATTCATCGAAATCATTCCATTCTTGTAAATTAGCAAATTATCTAAAAACTCAGTGAGTGCCTGGGAGTCATCCTGTAATTGACCACCATTACCCTTAACAGCCTCGAATAATTTCCCTGCAATCATCGAAGGTCTTCCAAACCTTTGACGTAATATGCTCATAGCCTCATCGTAGCCCTCTTTTGGCTTCATAAACTTACAGCACTGTATAGCTCTTGCAGCATCTCCAGTGCAATATCTCATCAAATACATTAACTTCAATTCATCATTTAATAAAAAACCACTCAACATGATCTCAAACTCCTTTACAAATTGTAAATAATCAGCCGGGTTTCCATCAAAACACCGTGGTTCAAATTTAGGGAGTTTGATGTTCCTATTATCCCTGAACGGCGAAACAGTAACATCAACCATGTCATGCTTAACATCAGACACATCGTTACAATTAACAGACAAGTCACCATGACTTACTTTCCTGTTTGCATCCAAGACACTCTGTCCCTTCTTTGACCCAGGCATTGTTGAACTTGACCCAATTCCAAAAAGTTCCAGATATTGCTTGTTCAAAGAGGACTTGACCGGCACCAGGAAAATGAACGGCGACTATCCAAACTTTCACCAACTGTTTGAATCCGCCAGATCTGTTTCCATCGTCAGAAACTGTCAGTCACGTCTCATAAACCGTTAATGCCCAGCTCTCGCTACGCTCGGGCCCACGCTGTTCTTAGAAGTTTCAGAAACGCTTAGTTATAACGGACGCAAAAACCAAAACACCGATCTGCCGCTTGATATTTCTTTATTGTTACACCAACATATAAAAGGAATAAACGAACTAAGCAAACTAAGGTCTGAAAACTAATATTACAATAATAAATCATTGTTACTTCTGACGATGTTTCACTCTTCTTTCTGAACAGCGACCGATGAGACGATGACTGTCGTATTGATGCCTCCGCGAAAATCGGGGAAGTTGATTTTGAGCAAACAACCAAGAATTGATCGTTCAATCTTCAACTCCATTGACAACATCTTTCACTTGTATCACAGGAGTGAGATCTGCACTCAAACCATTTTGAGAGCTAATAGTTGATACTGTATTACCAGGCAGTAATGCAGTTATAACCGAATTTAAGCCACTATCTAAAACAATTGTGTTTCTACGAACACGTTTTTTAGAGATTTGGACCATAATTTCAAGAATTATATGACAATAAGCAGTAAATAAATTACAGAGCAAACACGTGCAAAAATGTCACCAATTTCGAACGTACCGCCAGAGAATCGAGTAAAAATGGTTGAGAGCAACAGTTTAAAGCATACTTTGGTTGATTGTTTTGTGATAAGAGCAATTTGGATTCAGTTATATATTACACCAATCTGTCTCTTATTCATACGTTTTCAGCTGAGGATTTCCGGTTCATAGCATAACTTGAATCAGGGTGATTATATGATTTATAACTTAGACTGCAGCACACCACCAGCAGCTGACAACAATTCTAAACTTATTCTAACCTATTCCTCGATAATGCCTTTTATGATAACTGAAGATCTTATTTACACACTATGTTCTGAAATGACACAGGTCGTGCTTACAAAGGCAGCTGCGTGCTAAATCAAAACTTTCCGCTCTGGAGTAACACTAGTCCATGCTCAATATGTCCAGTGAGGGCTGGAACAACGCAGATGAGCAAACCCAGTAGGTTCGATTTAGTGCCACTCATGCTGAAAAATCAGCGCACAGTTTCACTTTCAAACAAAGGCAAAACAGCAAGGGAATTTACTGTTACTAATTAGCATAGTCTATGTGACTATATTAGCATAGTAAACGTTAATTAGCTCAGTGATTGCAGGTTTACCATAATCCTTGACTACCAACATAATTAGCTGGGAATTTCAGGCTAAAAATAAGCTAAATAGTAGCATCTAGTGACAAAAACTGACATCCACACTGCAAAATGAGCAAAACATCCAGAAAAACCTTTAAAATTCCATGGAAAACGAATCCGTGAAAACATATAACTAGCCGACGCATGAACTCATCATGACCTAGAAACTGACTGTAGCCTCTTTCGAAATTTTGATGCATGCGCGTCAAAGGAGTTGAGTCCTTTTGTATCAGTCTTTTTTATGTGTTTACGGCAAACATGCTTCGTAGTCTACAAATGAACGGTAAATTTTATGTTCCGCGGATTCATCCAGGGAGGGTTTGGATAAGCACAGAAATTTAGTAGAAAAGTGTTACCATAGGCTCCAAACCTTCTATCCTCAACCAATAAGTCTGAATCTGTAGTGGTATACTAAAAATAGATAAGCCTATCAGGTTAAATTTGATGTATTGCACTCATTTGTGTTTCTAAAGGCAAATAAGGTGTATTCAAATTGATTTCCAACATAGAACTTTGCAGACCAGTGTAGACGAAAGAGAAAGAAGATACAGAACAGAAACGTGGAAGAGAATGCAGGAGAAAAATGGCGGCTTAATAGGTATGGGAGATCGCACAGAGTGAATTCTAGTTCATATCATCCATATTCGTGAATTTTCCTGATTTCTGTTGCCCTCGAAAGGTGCAGTGTTCAATCCATTTATGCGGATTTTTCAAAAGACGGGTTGATCATCTACCAATCACAGTATGCATATGTGACCTTGAGGTGCTCAGCCCCTCCATAAGGTCGTGTGTGCCTTTGTTCATTGCCTCATCTGCCGATGCGAACTAGTTACATTTAAACTTGTTCCCGCAATCGTGCTTTATGTCAGTTTTACGTACTATTAAACTGGGTGACTCTAAAGAATAGCGGCCCAAACCGAAACGACCTTTCAACGCAAAAATGACCTTGACAGAGACAACTTCGGCCAGTGAGAAGGCTCAAAAAGAAAGGCGCATAATTGTAAAAAACGGTTTATATAAAAGGAATGCAATCATAATAAACAGTTACAAAGAATGGCGTTCGCGTATATTTTGCAAAAAACCTCCCAGTTTCTCATGGGAGTCTTCATAGTCATACGAAGCCAGTTTCGGTACATAAATTCATCCAGGAGACTGTAAACCATGGGATTTCTCGATCCATTAACCGCTCTTATACGTCTTTTTAGACGACTCCAAAAACTTTCAATGTAACTGGTGTGGGTTCCATCCAAAGGATTCCGGAAACCGTCCGTATGATTCACAACATGATGAATGTACCCATGATTCGATAATTGACGGTATCCGCTCCATTCATCTGTTGGAATAGTCGTCCCCGGCAACACCAAACGCTTATTAATAGGTACTAATACTGCTGCACTGCGATTAGGAATCGCTTCTATATACCCTTTGCTCAGTATCGTGTCGTAGATACCCAGTATCCACTGCTGGTTTGCTTGAAATCTCCCGCGGTTGTATTTCCTTTTTATAAGTAAAGTCTCATCAATATGGACTATGCTGCCGACTCCCCCGAGAACTTGAGTCAGGGTGTTCATTTTCCAGGAGGAAACTTCTCTGCAGTAGTTGTACCATTGCACTGCTGACACCTCTGAATTTAATGTTTCATAAGCTGTAGCTGTGACTGCTCTTTTCAGGACCCAGAAGTTACAGATCATTAAAATTTTCTTCAAAGGTAGTTTAGACCTTGAGAGAAAAGTTCCTAAGGCATCCGTAAACTAAAAAACAACGACAAACTTTCTCGAACCGATTTCCTCCTTCGGCACTCAATACATCTGTATACAAAGCCATCAATGGTCTCTGTGTATTTTTGTATATGCATAACTCCGCATTGGCAAATTTTCGACAAAGCTATCAGTCCGTTATCCAAACAGTAATCGAAGACATCCATGATTGCTTCCGAAAATGATAAAGTCAGCGGATTCCTTGCTCAAGGACACTTTTTTGTTCGAAGGTCGTTTCGGTTTGGGCCGCTATTCTTTAGAGTCACCTTAAACTGTTGGGTTGCATGTTCAAAATATGCTTTTCCACTGCAGATGCCTGCACCAAATACCTTTGCGATCATATTTTTTCTTAGAAATGTACCACCGCATGTAATTAATTTTATGACTGCTGATATTACCAGCCAGTTTAAAAATCCTGATTTTCCGGTTACAGTGATAAACTGTGGTGATTGACAATTTCTATCTCTGTATTGTTTAAATACTTACTGTTGACTGTTGATATGTTTCTTATATGAATTGCATTCTAATTCCGCTAAATACAAATTCCTGATTGCTGCCCTCTCTGGGTTTTGATTAGATTCCTATAATTCCGTCATCCCGGTATACTAATACTTCAAGTACAATAAATTACTACAAATTGGCGTCGCGATGGAGCTAAGTAACCTGGGAAAATTTCCTCTTAATGGTTCTCCGCGGGAGATTGCTGATTATTTGGAATGCTTTGATGCGTGGTGCATTTCCAAGAATGTTCGGGATGATAAAATACCTGCTCATTTCATCACCGCTATTGGGCTTGATGCATATAGCCTGGTGAAGAATCTGGCGTTTCCAGATAAACCCATTTCTATGCCATATGCTAAGCTCCGTGAACTTCTTATAGATCACTTCCATGTAACTACTTTTGAGACCAGAGAGAGGGCTCACTTCAACAAACTGGTACGTTCTCCCAACCAGAAGATTAGAGACTTCATTCTTCAACTTCAAATTCAAGCCTCAAAGTGTAATTTTGGAGATCAGCTGCATACACAACTACGTGATCGTCTAATTGCTGGAATCAACATTCCTAAATTAGAGAAAGAGTTAATTCAGATTCCTTCTTGTACGTTTCAAACTGCTAAAGAGGTATGTATTACATATGAAGATGTCCATAATGAATACTCTGCTCCCACTACGTCAGTATCTGATGTCATGCTGTCCAAAGTCGAAAATACAAGTGTTCATGGAAAGAAATCCAAACTGCCGTCCACAGGTAATAGAATGCAGCCAGAGATCAAAAACATTAAACCGTGTTTATCCTGTGGAAAGTTACATCTACGAAGCACTTGCCGTTTTCGGAGTGCTAAGTGCTATAAATGTGGTAAAGTTGGACACATCAAGACGGTTTGCAGGAGTTCGAGTACTTATGTTGCTCAACATTCTTATAATTCTCCCAAGCTGTCTAGTAAAATGGAGTCTATGTGTCTTTCAACTTTTCAAAATACTCAAGCTAATCCAACGAAAACCTCCACTGCAAGTTCAGCAACGCAAGTATCAACTGTATTCAAAAATGAGGTAGCTAAGTTGCAATGTGAACTGTCGAAAGCACGAAAAGACCTGAATGAGATGAGAGAGCAACTGAATAAAATTGAGGAATTACTGCATATGCATAGACTACGTCTGGTGAATCCAGAGCATACAAGTTCTTGTGAAAGTCCTGCAAAACTATTCAAATCTCGAATTCTCAAAAAGCATCTGATGTCCACTACTTCTAATGTACATTATTACAAAGATAATAACTACAGACCTTCTGTTGGAATTATACTACAAAAAATGGGAAATCGAGTGGTGAAGATATTAGACATCAAAGATCACTCAGTTCATAACGGACACCTGGACAAAGTGACAATAAATGAAGTAGGTCGTTCCAATTATAATATTATTGATTCCGCTAATAATCCTGATTTTGTAGATAATTCAGAAATAAGTCCAGATAGTACTGATGAAAATAATATCACAGAATCAGTTAGCTCGAAGCTACTTGCAAGCAAACCGAGACATCGTTATAAATACGCGAGGAGATATTCGAGGTGTGGCGGATGTGGTGATTGACAATTTCTATCTCTGTATTGTTTAAATACTTACTGTTGACTGTTGATATGTTTCTTATATGAATTGCATTCTAATTCCGCTAAATACAAATTCCTGATTGCTGCCCTCTCTGGGTTTTGATTAGATTCCTATAATTCCGTCATCCCGGTATACTAATACTTCAAGTACAATAAAATAATTACATAAACTCAGCTGTTATTTTGCTGACTTAATATAGACGCTTCGCTTATTCCGAACCTTCTTTGCTCGCCTGGTTTATGTTAATAATGTGTGTCAAAAACAAACACTGAGTTTTTTTAATTAACCGAAGTACGAATCAAGAATTTTACTAACGCCAAATTTATTGTTGAACCCGGAATTACCCTGCAGCTATAATTAAACTTATAAGCCTGACTGGTGATTCTTAAATGAAGCACTAACTAATTGTTGGCTAACTTCCAGTCTCTGTTTTTTTGCGGCCTGAGCAACGATGCTGACAAAGCATTTCGGCAATGCATAGTTCATTTGTTTATGTAGGATGATGTTGCAGGACTTGTCTGCGTGAACTCGTCGTTACAAAGATACGGCGTGACACTGTTAAGCATATTGACCACTAATTTGTGAAGTTGCAGCAACCCGGACTCACTGGCTTCAGCTGCACACACGATTTTGTGAACCATATCACCAATTGTCTCCAGCCATCGGTTTTCGCCATCCCGAAGGCCATAACGAGAAAGTCTACATCTCCAGACATTGCTTAAACTAACTTTTATTGACTTCATTGTCTGATACCATGTTTTGGCTTGACCACCACTACGTGCTATCTCTTTCCCAACATGATCCATCCTATGTCAGCTAACATTGCCCGTCGAGGAAGACGATGGCTAAGCGTGCTTAACACATGTAACCATACCAATTAGTGTAACTTCACAACCTTGTCGATTAATCTCCTCTCCTTATCTAGCACTCGACACCTAACTTCATTATTTCTCACCTTATTATAGAATGCAGACATCTATGAACAAATACAGCCAGTATTTTCGTGTCTTTTACTTTCGATGGCCACGTCCCACAACCATTAAGGAAAACGGAGCAAACTGCTGAGCAGTAAACCCGCCCTTGGTCGACAGTCGCACACCACGTCTATTAAGCTAGAGATTGGCGTAAGTTGGCGTATGCCAAACGAGTCTTTTGAATCCGTGTCTTTGAGGTGTCGTCAGAGATCAGTCCGTTGGAGGCTACACTGACTGAAATAGGTAGGACAGGTGTTACTCATTCAGAGCCACTACCTTCCTCATACAGCAATGTTAGCTGACAAAGGGTTGAGTAAGCAAGAGGTAGGGGATGGTCAAATCACATTTTGGATTCAGTTTCATGATGTATTGGATTGTTGGTTGATTGACTTGAGCTACATGAAGGGATATAGACTATTGGAATGAACTCGAAACGCTGAAAGCCGATGTCTGGAGTCTACTGATAGCATGGCTCAAAAATGTTCTTCGTGAAGCAGATGCGTTTACTATTTATAACCTCGCAGATCTATTAGGTTCTCATGTTTCAACACGCACTTATCCCTTCTCCAGTTCGTTTTAGTTTCATTTAATTTTCTCTGAATGTGTTTACTCTATGGAGGGCGAGGCTGTTTGCTGCAATTTTGACCTAAGTCCTACTTTGAAAACCAGTCAGCTTGTCTGCATTTATTTAAAACTTTTGATTTTTTTTCATTTGGCATCAGTCATTTTAAGCTGCTTCAAGCTCACTTCAAGCTTTACTTGGGACAGCTTTTGATTCTTCACTGGTATGACATAAATTGTACGTCTCCAGCTGTTAATTTGCTAATTGTTAACCATTGATTTTGTTCAATAGGTTATGCGATTACCAATTATGCAGTTTGAAACCAACCTCATCTTTTCTGTCCCGAAGAAGTGGTAGTTTCACCGACTGTTTGATTAAATATGACTTATTGCCAAGTGACCAAATAAATTACTGCCAAATCTGAGTTATTTCCAAAGACTGGATACACCAACACTTACACTAATAATCAAAATAGTAGGGAACTTTTATTAGTTTCGTTAATAAATGTGTTCATGTGGGTCGATAGGTGGATATCCGCAATTGGGCCGTATGAAAACGGCTGACAATCCGAAGAGTTATGGATGTTTAGTGGCTTTCTAATCAAACTTGATCGTTTATTACTTAAAATCTTATTGCTCAGTGGTAAATATACCATTACTGCATCTCTCCCAATATTCAATTTTTAAACTAATTGTGCTCGAAAAACAGTGGATAAACTTCAGTGTGGTAAGTATTATTTGTATCAGTGTATTATTATTATTACTGCTCCCTTGGGTTCCTAGTGGAACATAAGGCTTCAACTGCACATCTCCCTTCACTTGCTACTTCTGTCTTCCTTCTGCTGTACTTTTCACCTGCATCCATGCATGCTAGTCCATACTCTTTCAACTCCTCTCTCTTCACACGATCTCCTCCTGCATGTCACCCTTGCACTAATGTCCCACCCGCCGCTTGCTTCCCTTTCGGCTGGTTCCACTCGAGCAATGGCCTGACGCGCGCGCGATCTCACCCAGCGGCCTCCCTCCTCAGTGAGTGTCCGATCCATCTCCACTTTCTCCTGCATATTTGTTGGTTGGCGACTGGTTCTTGTTTTGTTTGTTAGTGCCCATAGTTCCTTGTTGGTGATTCTTTCCGGCCCGACCATCTGATCTTCAGTATATAGAGCCAGCTAAGACAGATGTTGGTTGATAAAGGTCTGCAACTGGCTGTTGGAAATATTCTTTGTGACCCACCCGCCAAGTTTCTGATCCGTTTAGAAGAGCTGACTGACTTGATGCTGTTTGCATTGAAAATCCGACTGGATTTTTGTTGATTCTGGCTGAGTGACGAAGATTTCCAGATTGGTTTCAGGTTGATGAATGAATGTGTTTCTCGCTCGCCTTCCCGATTCTCGCTCGATTTGACATCCTCGTCCGTTCCAACTTCCTGTAGTTGAGATAATGCTCCCTCCCTAGATAAGTGAATGAAGTAACCTCTTTCAAATCCCTCCCGTTGATGGTGATTGACGCTGGATGTTGCTGCTGTTGTTGTTGTCAGTTGGTTGGTTATTTTCATCACCTCCGTCTTGTCTATGTTCACTTCGAGTCCTGTCTTCACTACCTGATCCTTCGACTAGTTTGTCGGTCGGTTTTCGCTTGTAAGTCTTCGATTTTGTGTGTGTAACATCAAACATAAATCATCCACGCGCGAAATCCATGTCTTCTAGGTTCTTCACGTCGGTCGGTCCAGGATATTCCTGTCTTCTCGTTTCCCACTCACTGTCTGACGCATGATCCAGTCAGTCCACCACAATTAGGAATATCATTGGTGGGTGATAATAAGGAAGCACCCTTGTCTGACTCCTGTGTTTACTCCAAACGCCTCGCTGAGTAATATTAGCAAAATATCAGTTATGTCACTTTTAGTCATTTTTGCTGCTTGATTTGTTTTTTTTAGAATTTTTTGTTTATTTCATTTACTGATCTCTATTATTTTGACCATTTCACTTTTAACATTCTAGATGCCGCCTGTTGAAGAATAACCGCAGGCTGATAAACTGATCCAACCAAAAATTGGCATAATCTATCTCCCACCTGAAGTAAGAAACATTGTAAACAAGACAGCCAGCTTTGTTGCGCGTAATGGCCCAGATTTCGAGTCTCGTATTCGTCAAAATGAAATAAGTATTCCTAAGTTTAATTTCCTCAATCCGGTTGATCCTTACCATGCTTATTATCAACATAAAGTTCGAGAGTTCTCTGAACGAAGGACTCCAGAACCTTCTGCTATCAAGCTCACTATTCCTAGTGCTGCTCGTCTTACACAGGATACTCCCAAGTCTGTTCAAGAAACATTCACACCAAGGATCCTCCGGCTGAATTTGAATTTGTTTACGACCCACCATCTATTAATGCAATCAGTATTCATATAATAAAGCTTACGTCTCAGTTTGTTGCAAGAAACGGTCGACAGTTTCTAACTCAGTTAATGAATAGAGAACAAAGAAATTATCAGCTTGATTTTCTGCGTGCACAGCACAGCATGTTTGGTTATTTCACAAAGCTTGTTGAACAGTATACTAAAATTTTAATCCCACCGAAAGATATTATTATGAAATTGGAGGAAGAATTAGAGAAGCCAAGACAACTTCTTGATGATGTAAAATACAGAGTTGTATGGCATAAGTATCAAGAACGTCAACGTAAGCGTGAAGAGGGAGCTGCAGAGCGTGAACGCTTTGCGTATGCTTTAATTGATTGGCATAACTTTGTAGTTGTGGAAACAGTCGACTTTCAGCCGAATGAAACAGGTGATTTCCCCTTGCCGACTACTGCTGATGAAGTCGGAGCGCGTTTACTAGCAGAAGAACGTGGCCTTCAACCCCAGCCTAAATGATCATCAGCGCCTCCTCCTCCACCTGGTTCACTCAGATTAATGCCGACTGATTTAGATGAAAGCGACGATGATGATGGTCAAGATTTAGATGAATCAGATGATGAACTGCAGATCATCATCTAGTTGACGACAAGGGGGGATCTGATCAATCGTAATCCTCCTCCCTTTTATTACATTGAATCAGGAAATCAAGCAACGAATGATGTTCCTACTCCTCCAAGCCCACACAACTGAAGAAGATGATATGGAGTTGTCTGATGATGATGAGAAGACAAGACTGCAGAACCACCCAGACAGGATTCCGATCAGCAAACACAAACAACCACAAAACAAGTAGTACCACTATCTTCAGATCAAGTTATTATTCGTCACGATTATGATCCTAAAGCTTCAAGTATGAAGAGAGCAGAAGATTCTGTGTTGTTGGTATCTCCATTCACTGGAGAAAAGATTCCTGCTAACCAGGCGCCTAAACATATTAGAGTCGGCCTTCTTGATCCTAAGTGGGTTGAACAGCGTGATCGAGAGATTCTCGAGAAGCGTGAACAAGAGCAAGTTTATGCTGCTGGAAATTTATTCGATAGTAGCTTGAAGCAATTAGCTGAGCGTCGTACATATATTTTTTGTGTAGGCGTTGACGAGATTCAGATTGGAAAGAAACTAGGCGAGCAAGAAACAGTCAAATCGGATAAACTTATTTGGGATGGATATGAGGCAACCACAGATGTTGTTACCAAAAGGAACTTGGAAGCAATCACAGCGAAAGACGATGGAATTGTTAGAATTTCAGCAAAAACTAGAAGCTGCTCGTGATAAGATTGGTCCACAAAGTGGTGTGCCTCCTCCTGTTCCAGGTATTGTCCCTTCAGGAATGCCAAAACCACCAATACTGCTGTCACCACCACCCCCACTGCCGCCACCGCCACCACCACCACAAAGTGGAATTGTATCACCACCTCCACCGCCTCCAGGGCTTGTAATGCTTCCTAACACACCACTACCACCGTCGCCTCCCGGATTATTTCAACCCGGTCTGCCACCACCACCTGGCATAGCTGTTCCGAGCTATATGCCTCCGCCGCCAGGTGTTTCCCCGCCACCTATGCCTTCCACAACAACAGCAGTCACTGATGGAGAACCGGAGGCGAAAAGACCAAGAGAATAAATAAACGTAATCGTTGCTGAAAAACACTATACACTTGTGTTCTGTACTTTTATCAACTAGTCACACTTCAAATGTAATATTTTCACAACTTTTGCATGTCTGGTTTTCCCTTTTTGCTCGTAGGCTGTTTTTCACTGCAGGTTTTTACATCGTTCCTCGTTACGCGGCGTTGTTTTACTGGCCATGTAGAAAATGTAGGCATATTTCTGTGGTTTGGGCCCCCTAGTTTCATTGTAGCCAAATATCCCCACTCTCTCTACTTCTGAATTGTTTTTTAAGAGTGCGGATCTCACGAGATGATACGTGTTATTCGATTAGTTCTTCGCCTTCAGAGTTTTGTACCCCTAAGTTCATAGGCACCACTTTTGGGTAATGATTAGACACATTTTTATCATGTATATTCCACATTTTAAGATTGTATATTTTCGAAATAGTCACAAAACATTGCTGCTATCGACTATACATTGACTTTCCACATCAATGAGGGGTGGTTATGTTGATTAGATTTCGGATGGCACATTCGTGTTATACTTTATCTGACTGACATGTTTTATAAGGTTGAAAGTAACTGAGTATGCTTTTTACTACACCTATCTGTTGTACTTTGTTTGTTTTTAATACTCACATTACGAAGAAAGCCTTATTAAGCCAATTTGGACTGGTCTGCGCTCGTGTTTTGACCACTTTATCTTGTTCGTGTGTTCTACAAACTATGAGAGAGTGGTCCACCGAGGGAGAAAGGGCTCTCAAGTGGTTGCGCCACAGGATGATCCTGTATGCCGTTCTCGTCTCGCAAGAGGCAGGATGGGTGTGTGTTTGGTTCTCCTTAAAAGCCGATACCCAGTCAATGGGTGTATCTCATGGTGTGAAAGGCTGGGCGTGATGGCCTACGCCTGTAAACGCTAAGCACGGCGCCGATATGGATGACCCGTCGAAGGACGGGTTGTCAGGTTGATTAAGGAGAGGGGCGCATCCGAGTGGTGTTGTTATAGCTCATTTCTTAGAGCAGTCAGTAGTAAGTCATCGCTGAAAGTAGTATTTGTTTATTTACTTCAATGGATATAATCATGAACTGTGAGCCATACATATATATGATAACAAAAAACTATAGAAGTAGAACAGGAAATATATAGTCAAGCAAGCAGTTAGTTAGTTTTACAAGGTAGACGCAAACAGAAGTATTCGTCACTTTTATATTATATATACATATCAAGTGTTGAGTGTAGTGTGTTACTTGATTTGTTTTATGAAACATAATTGAGGAAGCATATCATCTAAAGAATCGTGAAATAGTGTTATAGATACTAACTTGACAGAACTAATCGTTATCCTATCCTATCGTACAACTGACTAACTCTTTGCACTTTGCACAGCGAGTCACACAGTGAACAAGCACTAGGCATTTATGGAGACCTTTAATAAAATATGCCCAAGTATGAACACTGTAGAACCGTGGAATTATTTATCTAGTAATCATGATAGAGACGTGATCAATCCCATTTTTAACACAGTTTGCAGACAATCTTGGACAGGAAATCTACAAATGTTTGTATGCGATTCGCTCCCGCCAATTGCAAGATAATATTACAGGACTAACTGGACTACACCGACTCCTAGTTTAAAAATAGGAAGTGAAGTGGTTGTTAGAGCACGTTGAGCGCTTCACTTATTTGGGAAGTACCATCAGCCAACGCCAACGGGTTGATCTCTGACGAAATCTCAGCTGAGTACGGATACAGAGGGCTAGTTTCGCATATGCCAGTTTACGCCGTCTCTGGCGTAGACGTGATATCCGGCTAGCTGGCTGTCGACCAAAAGGGCGGTGTACTGCTCTTCAGTCCGCCCCGTCCTCCTTTATGGCTGTGAGACTTGGCGATTGAGAGTGGAAGACATGAAAAGATTAGCTGTCTTTGATCATAGGTGCCTGCGTTCTACCTCCCGTGTGAAGTGGTATAATAAGGTGAGCAATATTGAGGTTAGACTTCGGTCGAGTTCTAGGTAAGCAGGGGAAATCAATCGACGAAGTTGTGAAGTTGCATCGACTGAGATGGTTAGGACATGTGTCATGCATCACTGACTAATCATCGCCTTCCTCGACTATGAAAAATGCTATCTGACATAGGGTCAGGCTGGAAAAAAGCTAGCGGAGATCAAACTAAAACACTTTCTCTTTTATGCTTTTTTTTGTACTTTCTTCTGTTGCTTTGTGTGTCACTTGGAGTGTGGCGACTTGAACTGCCGTAAGTGTTATATTTAAACGAGGGTAAAATAATATTATCTTCAGCGCACTGCAGATCCTGGAGCAGGCATAATTACTGGGGTCTGGTACTTGTCATTTTTACTGACATGAGGGAGGGAGAAGAAATGTATTTGCCAATTAAGGAACTCTGCTCAAAGTTATACAGATGTGTGAGAGCTTCTGGAAGGTTATCATCTGAAATGAGGACAACCTCTAGTATTCACTAGGGATGCCGGTGTCACCATTCTTATTTGTAAAACTGGTGTGTCCTACATAGATAGGAATATATATATATATATTAATATTATTAATATAGTTATAGGAATGATGCTGACTGAATTTACCGAATTAATGATTGACTTGTCACCACCAAATAGGTTCGTAGACTTGGAGTGTGAAAACGATACTGTCCTCCTAGATGAAGACGCTGATAGAATTCAGAGTCTTATGAACACCTTGGACAGAAATTATAATATATTCAGCTGAGTCAAAGATGATAATGCAGTACTAGACCTCATTGATTCCTAGTTTAAGGATAAGGGTGAGACAACCCATTTTTTTAAGCATTTTGATGAATTACACCAACTTTGATGGGTTGACTGGGGACAAAATTTCAGCAAATATACAAAGGACTAGTTTGGTTTTCGCTAACTCGTATCATCGTAGATGCAGGAGTGATAGCTGTCTGACTACCAGCGGCAGTTCACGTTGTCCTTATTTACGGCTACAAGACAGCCGTTGAAAGTGTATATTAAGTACTTTCGGTTCCTCAAACTAAGTAGTTTTACGTGGTCAGTCGTAATGAGTTTGTGCAAAGGATGTTAGGTGTAGAGGGAAGGTTGTGAAACTCCAAGTATTGTACGGTCTAGGACATGCTTTATGAATTCTTAGCCATCATCTTCTGTAGCGACCGATTCAGCTCAAATATGATTATTAGGCTGAAAAAGAGTTGGAGGGAGAGGTAAAACATGCCGTCAGTAAATGACATCTTTAACTGTCGGTTTGAGCTATGTATGAAGGTGCAGCCAACCTAAATGAAGTCTTTGAGATGCCAAGAACCAATAACCTGGGACAAAGAGTGATATAACTCAAAATGACTCTGAATTTCCTAAGTGCTCCCGCTCCTTTTGACCTTCCAGAATCTTTTATTATACTTATTTACTCATTCCGTGAGATCCGAGTAAAAATTGGGAACAAATCTCTATTGCACCTGGTCCTTTGTCGTAACTGTCAAACAGCTCCACAACTTCCCACAAGATTTTCATTTCGTTCTCGGGCACCTATTTGGTTTCTGTTAGACAGGCTGGTGTGTCATGTCAGTTGATATCTCAGAGTATGTCCGATCCATCTCCGTCTCCTCTGGCATGCATTTTACGCAATAGGTACTCCGCTGTTTCACTGTCTTCCAGAGTCCCTTCTTGCCCATCATTTCTAGTCAACCATCTGGTCTCCAGTATCGAAAGCACCAGTTGATGATAGTCTGAAGAATGTCGGAAATTCCTTTCGTTGACATTCCGGCCAAATCTCCTAGCCATTAAAAAGTATTTGCTTGACGGTGGTGTCAAAAAATTCTGATCTGTTGTGGATAACCACAGTGAATTCATAATAATGAACGCCTAGTTTGCCTTCTTGATCCTACCTAGATGGCTGTTTGATGTACTCTGTTCTGAGTGAAGTTTTATATCCGCAGTATATTTCAGTCTCTCCAATATGACATGGGTAAAAATACTTCTCTCGGAGTGGACAGAAACATGATTCCACACCAGTTATTGTTAAGGCTTCAGCTTGCCTCCCCTAGTAATTTTAACAAGTTATCCCTTCTACCAATCAATAGATACCTTTTCTACTTTCCAAAGTATCTTTAGTACTGTGGCGTGAACATGTTCACTGAGGTTTCTAGGTCCATTTTTCACAGCTTCTGGGCAGGGGTGGTAACACCTTGTTTTTTGCTTTCATAGCCTTCATAACTTCTAGTATTGGTTGAAGGATTGGTGTATTGCTGCATGAATTGTGACTAGCTGATTAACCGAGTGAGTTTCAACACAGAATACTGCACAAAAGTGTAACACTTCAAGTCTGCATACTCCATATATATAGTCTGTCATCGAAAGAATTTCCGACGCGCTTTATTCTTTTAGTCACAGCTGAAGATCACTCAGATGGGAAGAAGGGATTGGCAACAAAGAACTCTGGGAAAGAACCAACCAATAACCAATTTACTGAGAAATATGCAGAATGAAATGAAGATGGACTTGATATTCTTTGGAGAGTTCTTTGAGTGATAACTCTCTTCAGGCCGTAGAGTGGAACCCGAGTGGGAAATGACTAGTTGGAAGTCCAATTGTGATTTGGTAAAGATAGTTTGGATTCCGTATCTTTTCATCTCGTTTGCGATCTGCGCAGCTTTCCCAGTCTTGTAAATACTGCATACCTTCCATGTCCCCACACAGACTTTTTCTTTTGATGCAAAGAGGTTCATCGTGCTGAAGTTTCTGTAGCAATTTCGTTTGAAGCAGAACAAAGTGCAGGCAAAGGAGACCTCGCCACACTCTACCAAACAACTAGGAACCTATGGGCAAAAGTTCGACACAGATTAAGCCAGTAAAAGATGACAATGGAAAGTCAATCACCAAAGAGGTAGAGCAAAGAAAACACTGGGCTGAACACTTCAAAAGACTTCTAAATCGACCGCCACCTACAACGCGCCCAACAATACCAACAACGGAAGCAGAACTACCAGTGAACACCGACCCCCCTGACG